TTAGGACTGGAATTGCTATTTTCAACAGGCATTGTTTTTTTTTTTTTAGTTTTAGTTTTATTTGTTTAGAAGGAAGACTGTGATATTGCATTGGCAAATTCCCCATAGAAACAAAGAATGGAACAAAAGAATATTAAAGGCACCTCAACTTTTCCTCATTTATGTAGGACAGTCTTATAATATGAATCCAGATATCCTCCAATCACATAAGCTGAAAATTGTTCCACTTTACTGCACTTCTGTAACCATATGGGAACCAATCCTATCTGTGTTCTGTGCACATCCAAAATTCCTGCTGAATGACCCGCCCTGGGAGCGAGTTACCAGTGACCCAGGGCTGGGGCAGCAGGAGGGTGCAGTTGGGGAAGAGCCCAGGGCTGGGGTGGACGAACGCACGCACACACGCACACGCACACACACACACACACACACACACAGACACACACACACACACAGCGTTCTACACCAGGAGCATTCCACATTGGTGGTTTGCTTTATGTCCCAGAGCATATCAGCACTGCATGCAATGAAGGGGATGGGCGCATTCCTCCAGGGTAGACGAGTTCAGAACAATGAGCAGAGCGGCCGCTAGAGGGATTATGGGACACTTCCGAAGGCCAGTTGATTGCTTTTTGTGCTGTAATGTGTTTACACTGCCAATACAGTGCTGGAGTCTCTGTGCTTTAAGGCTGACGACTCTCGTTGAGATATTTTTTTTGCAATGCTGCAACTGAGGAGTTTCTGCGCACACAGTGGCTTGGCAGTGTGTACACCTCCGGAGTTACACTGCAGAAAGCTGCTTTACTGCGCAGTAGCTTGCCAGTGTAAACAAGGACTATAAAAAGGGAAATAAGGACAACCCGGGGAATTACAGACCAGTCAGTCTAACTTCTGTACCTGGAAAGATAATGGAGCAAATAATTAAGCAATCAATTTGCAAACATTTAGAAGATAATAAAGTGATAAGAAACAGTCAGCATGGATTTGTTAAGAACAAATTGTGTCAAATCAACTTGATAGCTGTCTTTGACAGGGTAACGAGTCTTATGGATGGGGGGAAGTGGTAGACGTGGTATATCTTGACTCATAAACAAACTAGGAAAATGCAACCTAGATGGAGCTACTATAAGGTGGGTGCAAAACTGGTTGGCCAATGTACATGGCAGAGGGGCATTGCTGGCACAAGATGGCATATATCACATTGGTAGATGTGCAGTTGAACGAGCCTCTGATGGCATGGCTGATGTGATTAGGTCCTATGATGGTGTCCCTTGAATAGATATGTGGACAGAGTTGGCAACGGGCTTTGTTGCAAGGATAGGTTCCTGGGTTAGTGTTTTTGTTGTGTGGTGTGTGGTTGCTGGTGAATATTTGCTTCAGGTTGCGGGGCTGTCTATAAGCGAGGACTGGTCTGTCTCCCAAGATCTGTGAGACTGAGTGATCGTCCTTCAGGATAGGTTGTAGATCCTTGATGATGCGCTGGAGAGGTTTTAGTTGGGGGCTGTAGGTTACGGCTAGTGGCGTTCTGTTATTTTCTTTGTTGGTCCTGTCCTGTAGTAGGTGACTTCTGGGTACCCTTCTGGCTTTGTCAAATCTTCACTTCACCAGGTGGGTATTGTAATTTTAAGAATGCTTGATAGAGATCCTGTAGGTGTTTGTCTCTGTCTGAGGGATTGGAGCAAATGTGGTTGTATCTTAGAGCTTGGCTGTAGACAATGGATCGCGTGATGTAGTCTAGATGAAAGATGGAGGCATGTAGGTAAGTATAGTGGTCAGTAGGTTTCGGGTATAGGGTGGTGTTTATGTGACCATTGCTTATTTGCACTGTAGTGTCTAGGAAGTGGATCTCTTGTGTGGACTGGTCAAGGCTGAGGTTGAAGGTGGGGTGGAAATTGTTGAAATCCTGGTGGAATTCCTCAAGGGCCTCCTTCCCATGGGTCCAGATGATGAGGATGTCATCAAACTAGATGTCAGTAAACAAGTAAACAACTTTTCCCCTTTTCTCCCCCTAGAGACGCTGCGATCTAAACTGGAGAGTGAGAAAGGTCAGTGTCTGGGCTAGTTACATTAACTGATGTAAGGGTTATTCCCATAAATATGACAGCGGAATCTCATCTCTCCCCATTTTCTCCCCCTAGAGACGCTGCGATCTAAACTGGAGAGTGAGAAAGGTCAGTGTCTGGGGCCAATGGGGTGGGTTAAGGGTTATATGAGAATGTTTCCCAAAAATGTGGCAGATCAGTAAACTAGAGATTGCCGGGCAGGGGAGACATTTGGAATGAAGCCAAAGGGAGGCTGGGACTCAATGTAAAGATCGTCACAGCTGGGGATTCCCTCCCTTGGCCCTGGGACCCGGCTGTGCCTGGAGGGCCCATGGGCAATGCTGGCTCAGGCTGTGGATACGGAGCTGCATGGGCCGCAGGGCCTGCAGCAGGGACACTACAGAGCAATGGGGAGCGGTGATGGGTGAGAAATCAGCAGACCCCATGGGTGAAAGTAGGCTGGTACAGGCTGGTACGGCGTACCAGGAAGAAGTGGTACAAGGTACCGGCCCGTATGCAGCCAACATTAAAGTGCTGTCGTGGCAGCGCTTTAACATCGCTGCCCCTTTTGTCCCCCCGCATTGGCGATCCTGCCGGACCCTCCCGGCAGGGCTACCAACAGGGGGGAGGGGGGTAAAAGGGCCTGGGGCTTCCGGTTGCTGCCGCCACTACTGTGGCCAGAGCCCCGGGCCCTTTTAAATCACCGCTGGTGCTCCGTGTGGTGCGGGCCAGGGAGCGCATATGGGATGGCTGGGAGAGGCTGAGCCCCCAGCCCCGCCCCTTCCACCCGAGGCCCTGACCCTTCCGGGGGACCCGAGATGGGCCCCCATACCAGTAAGTCTTCTATGTTACTTTCACCCCTGGCAGAGCCCCTCCCTTCAGCAGGCGTTGTGGGGGAAGGTATTTGCACAGAGACAATTCCAATGGGGGGGAGGAGAGAGGGAGAGTAAATGTGTGAGCTGGAGAAAGTGCAAAACACCCGTGGGATGGAACTCACTTGCGGGGGCACATCGTGCAGAGAAAGGTAAGGTCCCTTTGTTCATTGCAATGGGGAGAGGAGGGGGAATCTCAAACTTTACAACAAGTTTCATAGACTCGCAGGGCAGGTATTCAGAGCTCTCACTATGAACTGAGAGTCAGTTTGGTTTGTGTGGTGTGGGATCTTATTGAATAGCCTCCTTTTTCTTTTATCATATGTTTACTCATTTCTCTTTGTTTTACTTTTAGAGAAACTGCAGGGTGAACTCAGTAAGTTGTCTTCTATTCCTAATATAAACCTTGCTACAGAACTGTCTCGTATTCGGAGTGTCTGTGTGCAGGGGAGGTCTCATCTCTCTGTCTGTTTGGTTTCAGAGTGGAGAAGAGCCCTACTAAATGCAGGTAAATAAATGTGTGTTTTTGCTAATAGTTATCGTACAGAAATATATTTTTCTCTTATCATAAACGTTGTTAGAGATTGTTTTCTATTCAGCAAGTCTGTGTTCAGGGCAGTTCTCATCGCTCCCTATTTGCTTGATTTCAGGTTGGGAGAAAGCCCGACAATATGCAGGTAACTGTGCTGTAAACTCCGCTGAAATGAGATCTGTCAAAACCCCACCAGCCCCTGAGCGCTCTCTGGTCCTTTCCTTTGGAAAAGTGCTGAATAATGAGAGACTGTTTCCCCTCGGCTTCACCTTCCCAGTATGGTATCTGGGTTGTGCCTGGTAGACATTATCTCACCTAACCTTAATAGGCGTTAAACTGCTCAAATCTCCCCTCCCAACAGCAGGCTTTTCATGCTCATACAGGTCTTTAACCTGCAATTTCCTTCTACAATACTCTGAAGGGCTAAGAGCTGTTCAGTGTCTCCATAGATTTGGGGGTGAGGAAGGCCCTGTCTCCAGTGCAGAGGCAGATGTTTTTAAAACCAGATTGTGAAAGTCACTGACACAAGTAAAGCAAACTGTGCCCACCCGTGGCGTAGCCAGGTTCTAAGAGCAGGGGGAGCGAACACATAAAAAAAGGCGCCGCCCGCTGTGAAGCAGTGAAGAAAAAAAATGCACTTCCATCCTTTAAAAAAAAAAAAAAAGGAACTGGAACATGCTTCCAGTTCCACCGCTAAGTGATACTGGCTGTACCCAAATCCCATTCCAGCTCCACAAAAACGTGCTAGAATGGGGTTCCGGAGTGTTCCGGCACAATTCAAGCCCTGAGTGACCTCTCTCGCTGGAGCCCCATTACCTAGCTTCTGTAACCTTGCTCTTTCCTGCCCAGTGCTTTCTCTTCCTGTATGACTCCTATTTGTTCTCCTCCTGGTACAGTTTTCCAATGCTCCTACCTTCCCTCCCCCACCCTCCTAGGGACAGCTAAACTGGTTTTCTAAGGATGCAGTTCACTCATTATCCCAGATGTTTACATCTGAATAGGGTGGTTAAGTCCTAAGCACCTTCTTAATGCATCTTTTGAGTGCATATGTGCTCCAGGGCCTGTCAGCGCTACTGGCTCTACTTGTAGAGGGACATTCATAACACAGCAGGTTTGCATACTCAGCTTCACAATATCAAGCAGAATTCATAAATTGACCAGATCTAGTCCTAATCCATCACAGGAGGACACTCTGGGACATAGCTGATGCACAATTAGCTCTTCTATGGCCAAAGAGGAATGAGAAGCAAGCAGAGCCATATAAAAGGTGCACTAAGTACTAAAGAGCACCCAGGGAGTCGGCGCCTAAGGCGCCACTTTTGAGAATGTGCTCAGTGGGGGAGGGGCCGCTCCCCCTGCCCCCCCCCCCCACGCTACTGGTGCCCACACAGCAGCTTTCCTGTCTCACAGCTGTGCTGAGCTGTGTTTTACAGTCACACTCAGCTGGCTGCCTGAGCTCTGTGTGCCCTGGTGCATGCTGGGGGAGACTGGGCAGCTCCAGCAGAGGTTAGGAGCCCAGGGACATGCGCACGCATAGCAGCACCAAGAAG